GGAATGTGGGTTTCCCAACAACTCTGCTGTAAAAATAATGCTTCTTACAAAGTTTGGCGCTGAGCTGAAATAGTAAGAGAGTTGAATCTCAGGCCTGCCTTGTATTGGCAGTTTTAAATAAAAGTTGAGTCAACTAATGGGATATCTGGAGTGGAACAGAGCAGAACTAAGACATATGCAAGAACTATAAGGAAGGCATCCATGTGGTGTCAAGCATACTGTGCACTGCTCCAGTCAGCAAAATACATATTACTCCAAGAACAAGCAATCCAGCAAATTGTATTCACCACTGCAGAAAGAAAACTCCACAGTCAGTGTAACAACAGTGCCAAGGAGATTTCTGCAGCCTGCCAAGAAGGTATAAATTCTTTGTGAATATGAGAAAACAAACTGACCCTGCAATTCAGTTAGGGCAACAAACTATTTGTCTTTTTATGTCTTGGCAGTGGCTATGCCCCCAGCAACATAAAACAGCCCACCATAATGAATAAGTAACTATTTAGCCAAATCACATTGCAGAGTTTTATCAACCATCATCCCTTTATCCAAATTTAGAAAGTTGATTTATGTATTTGTTAGACTTACACTTTGGCATTACCAGTTAGGCAGAATTTAATATTATTCTAATGGGAGATTAGGAAGAAACTAGTTTTGTTTTTGCTCGTCACCAAGACATACAAGATTCTGCTAAAAAGTTCAGAGAAATTTCCTTTTTCTCAGCTCTCTCTATTTTTCTGGGAATGCCAAAGATTCCTAAAGATTCCTGCAGTTTCTCAAGCTTCATTAAAATGTCCTTAGCTGGCACAGAACATTGGATAACATCTTCCCAAATAATTTCCTTATCAAGTGGAAACCAAACAATTTCTGCTTTTAGAGACTGTGGGCATGACAAACAAGTTCATCTGGCAGGAGAAAATAAAAACACCATTAATTCTTTAAAGCTGCAACCCTGAGGTCTAATACTCCAAAGCTTTGGGTGTGGCTCTCAGAGCCCCTCTGAAAGTTGTTACTGAGATAAAATTTTCATTTGCCCAAAGTGGAGGCTTCTTTAATACATGGAAGTAATCCTATTAACTAGATTTTTGTCCCTCCCAGTTAAAGTCAACTAATTCTAACTTTTCTCTTATTCCCACGCCTGGAACACACCTACCAAAGCCTTGTGGTCCTTTGAATCCACATTCTGATTCAACTATTGTTCTCCCACAGCTTACAATAATTGAGTGATTGCACTGCCCATTAAATGCATGGTTCTATATTTTCACTGACTTTCATTAACAATCTTTTTAAAACCCATTCTGAGTTCTGCTATTGTGCTATTAAGCATACACAATCATAGTGGCATTTTTTTAAAAAAAAACAGGGTATGTGTAATCAAAATCAGCCTTCCTGGACTTAAGACATTGTTGCTAAGCAGTGGTGGGATTCAAATATTTTTACCACCGGTTCGGTGGGCATGGCACTTTGCGTGCACGGGCGCACCAAACACGCACTTTGAGCGGGCGCAGAAGTGTTCCAACTCACCCTCTGTAAGCCTGCACTCTCCCTGTTGCTTCAGCAGCTGCCGCGCAGCACTCTGCTGTGCCGCGCAAAGCAGCTGTGCTTTAAAAGCAGGGAATAAAGGTGAGTATGTGAGCCCAGGCAGGCGGGTGGGCCCAACAGCAGAGCGGCAGAGAGAAGCAGTTTGGTCTGCTGCTCATTGACGCCACCGGCTCGGCATAACCGGGCCAAACCGGTAGAATACCACCACTGTTGCTGAGGATATCAGGTGTCATTGTAACATTTTATTGGACAAACAGCAAAGAGCAATATGTGGCGAGCTATAGAACACAGAGAATGTAGCATGACAGCTACATAAAACCATCATTCTGCAGCAAAACCAACATCATCTAAGCCACCAAGAGTCACCTTGGGATGAGGTGGGTGGTAAACAAATTTAATAAATAGATAATACCACCACACACAAATCAACCTCAAGGGACATTAAACATCTCTTCAAAGCAATGCTTAGTTTTTTAACATCCTACATTTGGAAGAGGGTGTCAACCTTTCAAACTGAATCCAGTTTAGGAAACAGATTCCACAAGAAGACTGAGATAGGTTGCGTGAACAGAATATTGCAAGTTTTCTGGTATTTTCTTTTCTCTCCCCGTAAGTCCTCCCGACTTACAGAGGAACTACCTTGAGTATCTTTCCAATACAGCCTTCCCAGGGCTCAAGGAATGCTTCTCCTCCTTTTATTTTCTGAATATTTCGGTCAATATCATCTCCATGGTGTCAGGGCTCCAGTAGTGACCCCCATTTAAATCATGAGTCTCTATCCTGAATTTCAAATATTTCGGTGCATATCACGAGTATTTTGGGACATAGCGAAGAGGGAGGGAAAGAGATGACTCCAGCAGGCAAGTTCTGTAATTTTGTATTGTCGCCTAGCCTCTTCAATTTAATTTTGCTGCAAGCTTCTGGCCCATTTGTCCAGCAAATATCCATCTATACCTCGATAATTCTTTTCCTTTTTACCAGCCAGGAAGTCTAAACTTACATCATTGCCTCCAAATCCCAAAATTCAAGACTTATATACCAGTTCAAATGTTGATGAGGGACACCAGACTTTAAGAAGTGGCAGAATATCACAGCAGGTAAAATGTTATCTTCAACCCACGGTAACCTGGGATGAACAGCCTTCTCCAATCCAATGCTTTCCAGAAAACGCTTAGCTAATACAACTCTCATCATCCCCAACTACGTGGCTAATCTAGCATTTAGAAGTATATCCAGATTTCACCATACACGCCTCCCATCTTAGTGTCCCCCTCCTTTTTTATATGCAATTATACATTCTAAAGATTTTACAGCCTCTTTTCTGAAGGAAAACATCTCTTCTAGTTTATCAGAGTCTCAGCAAACTGTAGACAAGAGCTCAGGGACAAAAGCTGCTTTCAAGGATAGCACAACCAAGCAATGAGAAGAATTATTGCTATTCTTCCCTTCTCTATAGGCTCACTGTGGCCAAACCAACAGCCTTCTAAAACTGGCTCCAATTTATTTTCTTCTTGTTTGAAATTAGAATCACCCACTGACATTAGCAAAATGAAATGTTAAAACAAGGTAAAAATATTCACTGCACTCCTCAGTCACTGCAGTTTGAAATTGCAGGACTTCCTGGCCCATGTCAGCTTTTTCAAGATGCTTGCTTACAGCTCCTAATTTGGATCTCCGCCCATCGTTCTTCTTAGCCATTTCACTCTGTTTGCACAGAGAGACAGAGTATGTTAGGCCCATGCAAAGAAGAGAGGGGGGCTCCAAAGAAAAACAACCAGAGCTTTTTTCTAAGCCTTTCCAAAACAGCATTCAGCCATCTTTTGCTGAGGGGGAGAGTGGAAATGTTTATTTATTTATTTTGTAGTGGGACTACACTACTCGGATTATTAGTAAAATCAGAGCAATAGCTACAGCCCTAAGATTGGGCTAGGAGGCAATTGCGAACACAGCAGTAACATCACCAAAGATACTGAAACCAAAATATGAGGCCTTTTTGTCATTTTTATTGTATTTCTTTTTTAAAGGAAAAAAGATATATTAAACCTGGCAAGGTTTATTGCACTGGTTTTCTTTCTTTGGTGGAAAAATAGAATTAGATTAAAAAATGTGCTGCTGAATTTCCATTTTCAAGATTGGGGGAATCTTCTGGCATCACAAAAAGCAAATAGCGCTGTGGATAAGGATGATGTGGTCCAAGAACGTTGGAGCTAATAATTTGAATCCATTGTTTCAAACCATTATTTTGATCTCTGTGAATACATGTATAAAGCCTAACTGAAAATTATGTCAAATCCAGTGGTGATTAGTCACCATTTGAAGCATCTTTATTGGCATCCAGGAAAATCCAAAGCACATTGCTTACTAATACTTGCTTCCAGAATATGATGGAAGGGTTCCACTCACTGAATTTATCCACCAATTAGGTAATTATTTTGGCCCATTTAAGAAATACTGCAAAGAACAATTTAATCCCAGGACTAATATTACAACATAGAACAACTATTCATGCAAGAGGAACTTTGGATCATAAATCTTCACACCACACAGCTATTTCCCCTTCTAAAAGGGCAACTCCAGGTTCATGAGGAATTCAGATTCATATTTTTCTGACTTTTGTTTAACCTTCTGTTTAAAAAAAAAAACACCTTAGGAGAAAACAAGAAGAGGAACCTCAAAACAATAGCAATAGCACTTAGACTTATATACCACCCTGCAGTGTTTTAAGAGTTGTTTACAGAGTCAGCCTATTGCCCCCAAGAATCTGGGTTCTCATTTTACTGACCTCGGAAGAATGGAAGGCTGAGTCAACCTTGAGCCTGGTCCAGATCGAACTCCAGGCTGTGGGCAAAGTTTGCCTGCAATATTGCCTTCTAACAACTGTTCCACCAAAGAAAGATGGTCAGTGCAATAACCTTACCAGGATTAATATACTGTGGAACCTCAGGTCGTGAACACTTCTGTTTGTGACCAAATCAGGTGATGACCAGAATTTTCAGAACAGTATTGCTTCTGGTCATGAACAGATCTTCGGGTGGCAACCAAGCAAACACAAAAATCGCCACGGCAATTTTCCCTGCCTCAGCGATTTCCCCTTCAGTGCTTTGGGGGGGGTGTTGGTCCACACATGCACAGAAGGTCATGCTTCCGGTCACGACCAAATCGGGTCATGACCGTAGTCCGGAATGGATTACAGTTGCGACCCGAGGTTCCACTGTATCTCTTTTCTTTTAAAAAGAAATCTCAAGAAAATGACAAAAAAAAAAAAGATTTCATTAGTGATGACAAATGAAGAATATAAGAATTTTATTCCCTCTGGAAATAATTTAACATTTCTTATGTATCATAATTGGAATGAATTTAGGAGAACATTTCAAAAAGTCTCACTCTACTACCTGACATGTTTGGCAGACTTTATCTCTAAGCAGTCTTGCAGTCTTTAAAGAGTGCCTTTAACAACTTACCCAGCTGGATAAGCAATGAGACCATTCTTAGGATCGCAGGCCAATCCTCTGCCTCCAGAGACAGTGATTCCCAGCACTTTTTCTAAAGTCACCTAGTTTAAAAAGAAAACAAAAAATGATTAATATATAGCTTTGACATCCTGTACAACTGCATATGCTAAACTTTCCTCGTTTTATGCATCAGTTTATTTGATGTATTATTTCTCTCATGGAGATCAGATGACATTCAAAAATCTGCTTTAAAAAGCTATCAAATATTTGAACTTTCTTAACTTGATGAGGACAGCAAGAGTGTTCTTGTTCTTCTTTTAAAAAAACAAAACTTCTCCATAGCAACTGTAAAGAAGCCATTTTGAAAATTGCTTCCAAAAATGAAACCAACAAGGAGGCAATCAGCTGAAAGCCTGGGCAGAAGCATAGGCCGCCCTTGTCCCTGCCAAGATCTTTTCAAGCATCTGGGACCATCTGTAGATATTTGCAGATATTTGTAAAATTCCTTCAGCAACACTGAATGGGATTTTTAAAAGAAACAATATTAAAATCTCTCCAGAGCTTTCCAGAAGACAAGGATAGATTTCAAACCTCTTAAAGAAGAAAATATACTCTCATCATTTAAGTCGTTAGGGGTTGGACAGTTCTTCAGTTCATTGCATTTAACCTAAAATGAAGTAAGATTTTTCTTTGTAAAGATATTATGAATGTATTATCAATTTAAGTTATTTTGTGGCAATTCCACAATGGTTAAGCCAATTGACACCCCAAATATGAAGCAAAGGTTTGAACTTAACAGAATAATAGAGTTGGAAGGGACCTTAGAGGTTTCTAGTCCAACCCCTGCTCAAGCAGGAAAACTTCGTCCAGTCTTTTTAAAAAACCTCCAGTGTAGGAACACCCACAGCTTCTGGAAGCAAGTTGTTCCACTGATATAACTGTTCTTCAATGAATGACCCAATCTGCTTGTTGTTCCCCACAGTCCTAATGAGCTATTCTGCTTTCTGACTTCCACCTATTAAAAAGTAGCAACGTAGCTGAAGAACAGGTACCATTTCATAGAAAATTCAAAAAAACCCAAGACCCACACACCAAAAGAACATACTGATGATTACACTTGACAAGAATTCTTTGCAAAGTATTTTGGTATGACTGAAGCACACTCATCAAAGCATTAAAGCAGACACATTTTCATTCAACGTCTCCAAGAGCCATCTTTAGCTGTGTGTACATTTGGTATGGAAACACTTTACTACAACTGGTGGTCCCAGCTGAAGTGCTATCTGGGTTTACACACACATGGCAAACAACCACGGGAACTAGGGAAAGCAATCATGTGATTGTCACAAAAGGCGCAACTACTTTAACTCTTTGGCTAATGGTTCTTTCATCCAAGCACAGCTTTTTTCAAATGCATTGGGAGCCCTTTTACTGGTATTCTCTTAACTCGAGTGGCTCTGCAAGTGGAAGTCTTCCCCTAGGGTAGCACCACAATATCAATGCCAACACAACATCTGCTCTTTCTACAAATCAACTGAAGTTTTTATTTATTTATTGTACAACCATTGTTTGTGTAAGATCATTAACTTTGCCAATCAATGACTTTACTGGGCTGAATGTCAACTCTTCTGTTTAAGAGTTAAAATCACTGATGGTATCTTCTGTCCCAGCTCCAAAAAACCTGCAGTGAACTCAGTTAGCCATCCTCCAAAGACTCTAGGCTTCTTGAAAAGCTCCCACAAGAAGTCTGGTAAGCAGCTTCAGGGCACACCTAAAAAAACTCCTGTGGGAGCAGATCACCCATATTTAGTCACAGAGATGATTTGTTAAAACAGGCTTTCCCATTTGTAAAATAATTGTTGCTCGCAGGGATATTTCTTAAGTGCTTCTTTCATTAAGTGCTTATTTCAGCTAGCCCAGCTCTAGGACCAAACTAGAAGTCTAAGAATAAAAAAGATTCATAACTATCACCAACCTTCCCACCGCATCCCCTTCACGGCATTTAGTTCAAAAAAAAATTTTGTACCACATGCCTTAAAATGAGAATGAAGAAGACACAAAACGAAAACGCTGCCTTTTTGCTTATTTTTTAGTGCACATTATTTTTCTGGAGAATGCATTCATATCTATTAGGTAGCAGAACACAAGAGAATTTAACTCGACGTTGCTGCTTAAAAATGTTCTCTTTGCTTTTCAAAAAAGCACTACCTCATCCACCACTTTTAGCCAAGAAAATATAATGGGCGGGAGCTCAGATTTGTACAGCGTTTTGTTTGACTCAGCTGAAATTGTTACTAAGGTTGCACAAGGTGGGTTGTTCTAAACCGGCTTTTCTGAACAAGGGCTCTTCAAGAAATTGGAATGGGGGGGGGGGGTTGAAAATAAATATCATTTTTTGGAACTGAGAGAGTTGATATCCTTTGTGGGGGAAGGGACACCAAACAAAAAGAGTAAGTTGGCCAAAATAAAAGATCCACAGGAAAAAAGATATTCTCAACTCAAAAGAGCACTGTTATTACTGGATAACCTACAACATTGACTATGATAACATACAGTGATCTGTAGATTTAATCAACTTATGCATTATTTTCAAGGCTTCCCTCCAGGGTAAAAAGATTGGAAAAAGCTGCTGTAATTGATGTGTTGGGACTCACAGCCAGTAGGCTGCCCAGCCCAACTCAGGAACTTTAAAAATGAATGTGTTGCAAATGTTTCAGAGATTTCCCCAAGGTGTAGAATAGATCAGATGATGCTGACACTGACTGTCAATAACTTGAAATTTTAGTTTCTAAATTTATTCTGTTTTGTTGTTATCCATGCCTTCCATGGACTTGCTGCTGAATGAAAAAAAATAGACAAAGATACAAATTCTAAAAGACAAACAAAATAGAATAGGACCCAACTGATTGCTGCAAAAACTATATCCAGTAAAACAAGAAGACATGAGTTTTCTTCTCAAGTAGGTTCTCTACTACACAAGGAAAAAGTAATTCCTACATATTTAAAGATATAATCAATGGGAGTATTCTTTGGGAAGCAAAGGGCCGTTATAATGGAGCCATATCATAACCCAGGAGTTGCTGGGTGTTTTCAGAATGTCACCAGCTTTTATAGACAGGCATTTTATACTAGGCTAATCAATAAATTGTTAAGATTTATAATGTATGTATGTTCCCTAACTGGACAACAAGAACAATAACTGTGAATAAGACATACAATATGGGGCAATTAATAATCTAACTCCTTGATTCCAAAGTAAGAATACTATGTCTTTTACATTCAGAAAATCATTTGGTTGTCCTCCTCCATATTAACATATAGAAAAAAAAACCCGAACGCTTAGTCATTATTGACAGTACAAAAAACAAAAGTATTTTTTATTGACAAGGATTAATGTCATGCTAGTTATGGGCTGATGATGAGGATAACCCAGCAGTTTAAAGATTCTGTCCATGTCAATCTCTTGAATTTATGAAACATAATTGTTGCATTACAACTTCTATAAAGAAGCCAGAGAAAGTTTCCCACAATGGAAGAATAGCTGGAAAAACTGAGGGGACTAGCAGAGATGGCCAAATTAATCTAATATCATTTCTATTGGAATCCACTTTTGTATTTTATGCATGAGATAGAAAGAAATGAAATTTTGATTTTGGGATTTGTTGATTAGACAGGTTTACTGTTATAGAAATAGCTAATACAACTTAACTATGCAAAAGTAAAAAGATCTGGCCCGTGGGATGCTTAGATCTAGCTGTGAGGTCACCCTGGAAACAGAGAAGGACTGGCCTGCAGTACTATGCCAGCAAAAATAGAGCTCACGAGGGCCATGGGCGGCCTTCCCAAGCTCCATTTTCACTGGCAGAGGGTTGCAAGAGGCCTTTGCAGGTGAAAACAGAGCTCAAGAGCCTGTTTTTGCAGGCAGAGTTCTCAGGCCACCACAAGCCCCCTGACACTGACGTTGAGCTAGCCATGCCCACCCTGGCCACACCCACCTCGGCCTCCCCAAGGTCAAACACAAACGTAAGACGGCCTTCAGTGTAATTGAATTTGATACCCCTGGTCTAAAGGCTTTAAGGTTGTGGATCGAGATGAACAGAACAGGATATCGACCCTTGCAAGAGCTAGCTATGTTTGTGGGAGCTTCTGGATCTGAACATTTGTCTCTGAGTAAGGTAAGAAATGACACACAATTGGACATCCTCTTGGGCTCTCAGGTTCAGTACACATTAAGTGAGCCTCACTATATGGTTGGACAATATATGTTTTCTGATGATTACAGCTGCAACATGAGGATGGTTGGTCACATAATTGGCAGATATTTAGATTGGATTTTGAATTTTTGTCCACCTATCAAGTCCTTCCCAAGGATCTGGGATAAGCAAATGTTTGTATTTATTTGGTTAAATGTATCATCGCAGGATATGTTCCAAGTTTTTTATTATTATTATGGAGGGAAGTGTTGTTAGCATCCTAGAGTCACAGTTGTGTAATCAGCGGCTATAAAAAATGCTTACATAAATAAAAAAATGTAGTTGGTAGGGATCTGATGTGATGAAGCTTCACAATATACCTTATATACTTACAATGTCAGAATTGGACTGATTTATAATTTCAACCACAACCTGCTAAAAATTTATTTGTATTTATTAAATTTTATATCGCCAATCACCCCAATAAGGTGACTCTGATTCTTGAGTGGGAAGGAAAAAAGAATATCCTTGCTTATGCTTCCTCCATAGCAACTGAAAATGGTAAAACTTGTGGATCAAGTCACAATACAGAAAACAGTACAGGGAGAAATTCATTGTCAGAATATATATATATATATCTTGAGGTTGCTTTGCAACAATAAAAAAACCTCAACCTATCACACCTAGCATTGTTGGACTTCATATGATGCATTCAGTACAGAGTAATTACAGGCGGCTGCTGTACTTAGAAAACGTTTGAACATTTCCAATGCATGGGCTTCATTCTAAGATTTTATAATGCACTTCAGATATATCCCATTTGAGCTAAATTTAAGATGCTGGAAGAGCTGATTCTTACCAGGTTTTTGATCACTATTGTATTTTTAAGGGATGTGAAAACAAAAATC